TGGCCATTAGGGAAATGCGAATTAAAACCACAATGGCGTATCACTAGACACCTATGAGAATGGCTAAAATGAAAAATAGTGACAATACCAAATACTGACAAAGATACAGAGAACTGGATCACTCTTACATTGTTGGTGGGGATGTAAAATAGTACAGTCGTTCCATAAAACAGTTGGGCAGTTTCTTATAAAACTAAATATCCAGGTACCATATGACCTAACAGTCACACTCCTGGGCATTTATTCAAAAGAAATGATGACTGTGTTCACACAAAAACCTGTACACAGATGCTTATATAGCAGCTTTATTTATACAGTCAAAAATTGGATGGTGGGGGGTACCATCAACAGGTAAATGATGAAACAAACTGTGGTCCATCCATACGATGGAATACTGCTCAGCAATAAAAAGGCAACATCTTGGGTCAATCTCTAGGGATTTATGCCAAGTAGGAAAAAATCCAATATGAAAAGGTTCCATGCTATGTGTTTGCATTTGTGTAACATTTTTGAAATGATGAATTTATAGAAACACAGAAGAGGGTAGTGGTAGCCAGGGGTATGGGATTGGGTGAGGGAGGTGAATGTGGCTATAAAACAGCAACAGGGCAATTCTTATAAGGGAAATGCTTTGTGGCTTGACTGAATCAGTGCCAACATTCTGGTCATGATATTGCACTAGAGTTTTGCAAGATATTCCTACTGAAAGAAACTGGGTAGAGGGCGCGCATTTTCTGCATGTATTATTTCTTACAACTACCCGGGAATCTACAATTGTCTCAAATAAGTTTAAACAAAAAAAAAAAAAAAAAGAGGGCACATGTGCTTCTTCCTCACAATAGAGAGGCAAGGACAATCTTTTTGAGATAACTAAGCTGCATATCATTCCTGAATTGGGATAGTGATCAGTGATGGTCTTTCAGCATCTCCTACCCCAGCATTCTAGTCCGGGGTGGAAAAATTAAATGGGGCAATTGTGTTCTCTGACTTGCTTTTATTATAGGGCAGAGACTTGCAATGAAGTCAACCTTAGAAAGTCTGCAAAACATAAGGCAAGCTTAGAAATGTGACAGGGTCTGAGGAGAGAATTCCATTCAATTTTTGGCAAATGCAGAAATGAATCCTGAGAGTAATGTGGCCAATGACAAAGCAGCATTAAATACTCAGCTGGTGGCCGGGCGTGGTGGGAGGCTAAAGCAGGAGGATTGCTTGAGGCCAGGAGTTTGAGACCAGCCTGGGCAACATAGTAGGATTCTGTCTCTACAAAAAACGTTAGAAAAAGTTAGCCGAGCGTGGTGGCATGCACCTGTAGTCCTAGCTATTTGGGAGGCTAAGGCAGGAGGCTCTCTTGAGCCCAGGAGTTCGAGGCTGCAGTGACTTTTTGTTGGGCCACTGCACTCCAGCACAGTGAGACCTTGTCTCTTGAAAAAACAAAACAATCAAACAAGCAAAAACACCCAGCTGCTCCTTGGCCAGCCCTGATATGTGAGTAACAGTTACCTTCCTAAATAGAGCTGACGGCTGTGGCCCGAATGGGCCCTAGGTTGTCATGTTGCACCGCGCCAGCCCAGGTTGGTGTGGAACAGCCCCATCCTCTGGACCTCAGCTTCTTGTCTGCGTCAAACAGAAAAACAATTGTGTTTATCATAACTTCAGTCATAATAAGGTTTTGTGTAGTGTATTTCATCAAGGTAGAATGAATTGTTTGTTGCCAGATCTTGAAAGAGGGTTAAAATTATATTGCTTTCTCATTTGTTTTTCCTTAGTCGTGGTTCATCGGAATGTATTAAGATTCAGAACCAAAGGTTATATGAAATTGGAGGAAATATAGGTAAGCATTCTGTGATAACTTCTACTCCTAAATTCTCTGGTTACTCTAAAACAAATATGCTTCTATTATTGTAAAGGTATATATTTTACACATTTCTTGGATAATTCAAAATCAATAAGTTTCTGATTTTTTTTAATCTCCTGTAAGAACAGTTGCATGACTTTTCTAAAATATTTTCAAAATTTAAATGAGAATATTTTAGTGTTGTTATGGAGTAGACTTTGGGGCCTTTTCAGTGTGACCCTCAAACTTGGAAAGTATCTTCCTCGACACACACGCAAAACAAAGAAGACACGATGAGAACTTTCAGAAGCACGCCGGCCTTCTTGTTTAGCTTCCCTATTTTCACTGTCATCCAGGGTTCATTCTTCCTGTTTCCCTGGGTAGGGGCGGGGAGAGGAATCACAAGACAAATCTTCCCCCTCACATCTGTGGACGCCCTCACAGCCCCGCGCTCCTCTTGCTCCTGCCGAGGGCCGCGCCCCCCTCACGCCTCCCGCGCCTGGGCAGGGCCTTGCTCCGTTGGCCCCTCCAGCCTCGCCAGCCTTTCCCTCCCAACTGCAGCATTTTCATCTGCATAAAAAATTCTGGTAATTTCCCTCATCTTTACAAAACTCTCTCTCGACCCCCTTCCAGTCTACTCTCACTTCTCTGTTCCACTCCGAAGCAAAAAGTCCTTGGATCAGTTGTCTATACTGCACTTTCTTTCTTGCCTTTCTCTCTAAGCCACTCGAGTCACGCTTTACCCCTCAGCGCTCGGCCGGAATCTCTCTCTTGTCGAGGTCGCCAGACGACTCCCGTGTTGTGGAGTCCAGTCGCTCAAGTCTGTCTTTAGGACTACCGAGGCCATCTTTCCCTTGTTTGAGAAACGCCCTCTCCTCCCCGATTTCGAGGACACCTCAAGCTTCTGCCTTCGCTCCGGCTTCCCTGGCTGCTCCGTGGGAGTCCCTTGTGCCCAGGACTTCTCGTCTTCGCAGCCTCTCGAGGTTGGAGAGCTGCAGGGTCCGGTCCTTGGAACTCTTTCCTATTCACACTGACCTTCCTGGGTGGGCTCAATCCATCGCACGACTCTAACTAAATACAGCTGTGTGCAGATGCCGCCAGTGTGCCAGACTTCCCTGCAGACACCACACCTGCACGTCCAGGCACCGGGCACGGTGGGCCTCGGGGCCTTGGCATTTGCTCTTTCTCCCAGGATGCTCTGCCTCGCTCACCCAGGTCTTCCTATGGGTCACCCAGCTCACACCCTCCCTCACATGCCTTCCGTGCTTTGCTTTTTTCTAATGTTCTTATCACCATCGGACTTACTTTGTATTACATTCATTTATTTGTTAGTTGCCTTTTGCCCCTGTGGAACGTTTTTGACTGTCTGACACATTGCTTATCCCCAGCCCTAGAATGGTGCCTGGCACATAGTAACTTACAGTAAATATTGGATAAATTAATGAATCAAGCAAGCCAAGTGCACAAGCAAATCTCAGTAGCTTTGTCTGAGGCTTTAGTGTACATTTCAAGCGGGCTTGCACATGAAGCCTTTCAAGTATGCTTGTCCCACGGAATGATCTTTTTGTTGTTACCATTTCCGGATCTCCTGCCTGTAGGTAGGTGGTGCGTCCATAGTAAAGAAACAACATGACCATTCCTAAAATGAACTTGACTTGGACCTTCTCTAGCCCCCGTCAAGTCCATGTCTGTAAAACCACTAGAGGACATATGTTAGCATAGAAGCGACGAGTTTATACCTGAAACAGTTCTTGCCGTATTTTTCTAATTGACGTGGCAAAGCTAGGAAACAATTTGTCTGTGGTTGATATGTCTGGGTTTTTTTCACAATTACACATGAGATTTATTTGAAGTACCTGTATTTCACAGGCTTAAAGAGAGGAGGGAAGGCATGGGGGGAGGGAGGAAGGTTGGAAGGGGGAGAGGGAGGAAGGAAGGCTTATTAAGAGAACAGTGTACACTATTCTGGTGATGGGTACCCTGAAAGCCCTGACTTCAGCATGATACAATTTATCCACAGAACAAAAAACACTTCTACCCCCTAAATTTTTTTATGTAAAAAAATGAAAAATATTAAAGAAACTTTAAAATGTGTGTGCTTGCTTTTGGCTGATAGAACTATATTCAACTTCTTTGAACCTTATAACACACACACACGTGTGCTCATGCACACACACAGAGAAATGTACATTATTAAAAATATTAATTTTATCTTTCTTTTAGGACAGCATTGCTTGGATCCAGATGCTTATATATTGGATGTATATCATGCAAATCCTCAAGCAGAATGGGTGATTAAGCCCCAAGCAAGTCTTTGAAATACCCTCAAGATGGCTGCTATCGTGTATTATATGCCACGAGGATCCTACGTTTAGTGGGGAAAAAACAGCACTGCTTGGCCGTGTTTGTCCCCACAGCCCTCTCAGTGTTCCCGGCCCTGAGTGACAGGCATCGCCAACATGAACTGTGGAATAAGAGCACTACGGTTCACCAATTTCAACTGAAATTTCCTCATGACATTTCTTTGATCAAAGCAAAGGAAAGAGGATTTGGTCCTTCCAGAAGAAAGGCCAGTCTAGAACGTGGAATTCTAATCATTTCTAGTATTTTGACTTCATAGCAGAAATGAACTTGGCCCTCCCTATATCTGGGGATAAACAACACTTGTTTATGTAGCCAATGCTACTGAACACAAGAGGTGAAAGAGACCCTTTTTTATGCTTACGTTATATACATATATTGCCCTTTTTGAACAAGAATGCCAGAAATAGCCTTAATTTCTCCCCTGCAAAATAATCCGGATCTGCCTTCCAAAGAGAATCAGTTTCTAAAGTGAAACAGACAATATTTATGCTCTCACTCCTGCACTGGAGGAGGAAGACCTTCCGTTTGAAGAAACCTGTATTGTTACGGACATCATACTGTACTATAACTATCAGCATTCTGGTGCAAATGAACTTGCCTCTGTCATTGACTATTGAAAATTGATATTTTGAAAACTTATTCTCTTCTGAGCACAGGTTCCTCTAGTGAAGCTTAGCTTGACAAAGTGTGTCTTACGCTTTCCTAGCCTTTGTCGTCAACATTCACAGAGCTTCTATTTTCTCATGGCTGTGGTGCTCAATGAATATCTTTCCATATGCCAGGCACAGATTTCCTTTTCTGTAAAACATATCATTTTTTATATTTCACGTTGTAAATGGTCACTTCCACAGCCCCAATTTAACAGTGCAGAGAAATATTGTTATATCCAAGATTTATAACCTGTAAAAGCAGATTTTGCTTCTGCCATAAATCATGGACATGGCCAACCGCCGTGGATTAGCATCAGGCTTTAAAATCAGACACATGTTTGGTAAATTGAAAACTGCCTCACTCTCAAAATCCTGCAGAGCCATTTTCCAGGCTTGCAATGGCCAGACACGTAGTCTTTGCATTTCTAATTTAGAACAAATCCAAAATGTGCTGAGGGATTGGACAAGCTCTGCCTTTCATTTTGAGATTACAGATACAGTCCTAGGGTTGGCTAGAAATGGATACAGAGTTCTAATTTATCCCAGATATATACTTTGGCTTGGAATCCACAGATAGAGACACTGATAAATTTATATCACTTTTAATGAGATTCAAGGCCCAATGATTTTCTTGCAATTCAAACAATAGAGAAAGTTGCTCACAAATGCAGAAAACATTTTTTGTCTACTTACCAAGTCTCAAAACGTAACGTGATAATATTTTAAGCCCATATGTAGAAGAAATTTTTCATATGCTACATTATGCCTTGATGTCTATACAAAACATTGCTTATATTCAACATGTAGATAATTGCATTTTCTGGCCTCTAGGATTTTATTATATTTTTTATAGAAAATACAAAGATCCATTCATTTGATTTGTTTATTTGATAATTTTTATTTCTTTTGCCTGAAAACTCATTAAAAGGTTTATATTTATTGCTACATTTCATCAGTTTTTAATATATGGCTCATTGGTGGCATGTGTGTTTACATAAGAATTTCTAGTCTGAAAAGAATGATTTTATCATTTTTGCAATTTAAACAACAGACGTAAACATTTTACTTTATGTAGTTGCCAATCCCGTATGATGGCAGTAATTTATGCCCACATATGGAGGAAATTCTTCAAATAGCCACCTTACACTTCTATGTATATATGAAAACCAACTGATTTTTCTCATCATATTTCCACTCAAATAGTTAAATTCTGTTGTGTTTATATCAAAATTTGATAGATCTGTTCGTTTACTTTTTTATTTGGGAATTTTTATTTCTGTTGACTGAAAATACATTAGAACCTGTGCATAAGTTCTGAAGGTTTTAAGATTTACTCCAACCTGTCCCAGTTTCAAATAAATGCCTAATAGATGACAGGTAAAATACAGTTTCTTCTCCACTTTTGTGTGGTTTTAAATGGCAAAGACTTAGCCGAGTCAATAACTATAATCACTTTGGTTTATTTAAGAATGCGTGACAACTTTCAAATAGCTATACAATATGGAAAGCCATGTCAACACCAGTATCATTGGATATAACTACTGTTCCTAATCATAGGGCTAACTAATTGGTTAGAGAAAAATTTTAATAGACACACAGACTCATTAGTGTGGTTGAAGAGGCTATTTTTACTAATTTTATTCTCAGGAATAAACCCCCACAATAAAAATTTTTAAATGCCTGTCACCTAAATATTGAAAGAATTTTTGCTTTATCAAGAGTTTTTTAAAAGTTCAGTAATCCATAAAAATGAATCATACATTTGCAAACAGAAGAAGGACAGATACCGCACTTCTACATGCTTAGAGCTTCTCACCCTCCCATCTCTAGTGCTCTTGGTATACAGCTGGGAAAATAGTACCCTCCAGGGAAGTGTTAGAGGAAGCTAACATTTT